CCTCATGTCGACACGTCCCATGCCTCCACACGCTTTGCCCCGCGCGAAAGAAGGCGCCACTGGGCGACACAAAGCCGGAGAATCTGGTCCTCGCACGGAGGTGATGGGAGCTGCGCTGCATCGATTTATCTATAAACTATACCACATCCACAAAGAAGCGCACAAACATATCAACTAGACAACTGGTAGCCAACTGGTAGATTAGAATCAATGCCCAGCCTCAGAAAACAAGGGCTATGAGCTATTTATCGATTGTGTTTTGTTCGGGCAGAGCTCAGGTCTGCATCTGCGGTGCATCCGAAACCCTAAACCAAGCTCCGCACATGTGGTAATATTTCCCCGAGGGAGGCAGGGGTTGAAACAGCCTCAGCGGCTTCTTGGTCGACGACGCGCCAGGATTTTGGACGGCTGTCCGCCGGCCACAAGTTAATTTGAAAGTTCAAGGGCCTCCCTTTCTTTCTATACATAAATATATGTATGTAGATTTAGATGTGTGTTTGTGTCTGTTCAATCAGGTCCTTTCCTTTTTGGTGTGCTTCAAATCCACTGTTTTGCAGCTTCAACATGAGTTTGTCTGGGGTAATGTTTAAGGAGAGCATGCACGGAACGCACGCAGGAGGGCCTGCCCTGCTACACAAAGGAAGCAACATGTTGGTTCTGTTTTTCACTTGACAGGTGGTGAACTCATCGATCAACGATGGACTTTGGTGGCAAAGCAAGCTGGGATATTCTTGATGCGTCAAGTCCGGGGAAAATGACGGAATCCATAAGACAAAAAGGTGCTTGTCAAAGTAGCGGTCCCCTGGAATTGTGGTTGTTGCCTGGGTTTCCCTCAAATCCAACGTACAAAAAGGGTGCCCTCAAAAAGCACAAGCCCAAATGGGCCCCCCATCACACCTCTCCGGTCGCCAAGCCGAGCTGCGCGTTGAAGGGCTGCCAGCCCAATGGCCCTGCGAAACCGCGTTAGTCACCACCACTCTTTTCAGCTCAGCTGAAAATTCATCGTTTGGTTGGCCCCGTCAAAATGCAGTCGACTGTGCTGCCGCAAAGTTGGCAGTCCACAGGGGGTGGCTTCCTTAGGGGTCTCCAGGGCTCCCCCCTCAAACAACTTGAGGGCTTTAAGCAATCTTAGGACTTCCCTGATGGTGACCCTCCCTCGCACCTGTCACCAGAAAGCCCATGAGAGCCAAAGGCTCCGATTGCGCAAAGCATGCTATTTATGTGGTTTGGGCAAAGCTTTGTCGTGTTCAGGAACATTTGCGGCAAAACCAGTACATCTGCGAGAAGGGGAAACTCCGCAAGATGCTGATGTCCTGCACTGCTGCAAGGCTTCCCGCTGGCCTTCAACACACTGCCAAGCCGCCAAGCTGCAAAAAAGACTACTCGCAGACAACCAGACGACACGCACTGCGGCCGCTACAGGCAAGCGCTTCAAACATGGCCCATGAGTACCACAAACACTCTCCCTTTGTGGGCAATTTGCAGCAGGAAGAAAACACAATGGGGTTGGATGCAGTTCTTGTTCAACAACCCTCAGCTGGCGAATCGAACCTTCTCCATCGTCAGGGTCATTCAAGTAAACAAAGGCCGGAGTGCGCTATTTTAGCGTTTGGCAACAGTTGGCCCTCTCTCTGCCCTGGGGCAAATTCACCATCCAACGTCAACAGCCCTCGTTCAGTGATCAACCGAGCCTGCCTGCAATCCCAATCAACCTCATGGAGAACTCCCGAACCACGTTGCCAACAAGCAGGGCTAATACTCCTCATGTAAATTTCGCCCCGAAGCAAAGCCACTTTGAAGTCATCCAAAGGTCAGTTTCACGGCACCCAATCCGCAGTCCAATCACCCCTCCCGCGGCCTTTGCACTGCCGATCGGCAGCGAAGGCTCGCCCACATGGCCCAAGCAGCCAGCAGTTGTGCCAAGCAGCGTCCTAGGAATTGGCGCTTTGGGCCCAGTGCCATAAACCAAACAAATGCGTTTTGCGGTTCGACTGGGAAAATTGCTGCTGGGCAACTGGGAAACGGACCCTCCCTCTGCGCCAGAAAGGAACTCTTTCGCATTGGGCAACGCCTTCTGGCGGAATTCCAAAATCTGCGCTGCTTCCTCCAGGTCCGTGGGGGATAAAAGCTGAATCTTTCGGGACCCTTGAGAATCCTCCGAGGGTTCCCGCCGAAAAGGCTACGCAGTTTGAACGAATTCTCCAACCTCAAACCAGGAACCTGCAAGAAAGCTTCATCAGTGGCGAGGAGCTTAAGGGGGCAATAATTGACCAAATCCGAGCGACAAATTCATAGAATGTTGCCCTGTGAACATTGGGGGCACCCAATCTGGTGGCTTTCCTTTTAAAGGTTTCTCTTTAAACAAACCTCCAGCCATTGAACAAAAGCGCCCGCAACCAACTCACACACGTACACCTGTATGGGGAGGGGTCCTTCATCGACGGTACACGCCCATGGACTGCTCAGGGGCAAGCCAGGCAAACACATGCGCGGTGCCCAAGCCAAACGAAGCAAGGGCGTGAGAGAACTCGTCAACTATAGGAACCCATCGTCAGAATCCGCAAATCATTCTCCCATCCTTCGATACTGCGCTTCCTTGGGAACCGAATAGCGGCACCCCGCGCCTGCCAACCGACGTCCCAAGATCTCACTGCGGGATCTTTGTGACGCTTGTGCTTGGTGCCTTGGAACCGTCCAAAGACTCTGGAACCTGAAGCCACTGGAAGACTCTCCCCATAGGGTGGTCTGAATGAAGGAACGGACGAACAAACAAACGATGGAAGGTAGAATCAAACAATCATTGAACCAATGAGCCAAGCAACACAACCAAATCAATCGCTCAATCTATCCATGGTGAACACTGGACAAACGTCCACAACGAAATGCAAGGGCTATCATGCGGAATGTCCGGCCCCAAATGTGAACCACCGGAGTTAACCCATGACCATGGGCTCATATACGGGCTGTCAATTGGGGCCCTTGCTGGTGGTCCTCTTTCGATCTCAATCCAGCACGTGCTTCCCTGATTTGAGACGTATCCATTTTGTGCTGTCCACGATGGTTCTCCTAGCAAGGATCCGAATCAGCCCCAATCAGGGTCATGTCCGGGTATGTAGAGTCTCCATGTCAGGATCCATGACCATCCCTAGTAGTCACAAGGAAGTGAGTTTTTTGGAACCGCCGCCTGGAGCTAAGAGCATAGGGCCCAGGCAGCCAACGGTCCTGGCCAAGGCCGGCCAGACGCGACTTTGGGACATCCGGGTTGTGGCAAGGGATGCATAGGTGGAACCTTCTAGGAGTCTGGGAGGTAGGGGGTATGGAGGTCACAAGCTTGGCACCCCTCCAACAGAAAGGGAGGGAGGGAGGGAGGGGGAGGGGGAGGGAGGGAGGGAGGGAGGGGAGGGAGGAGGGAGGGAGGGAGGGAGGGAGGGAGGGAGGGAGGGAGGGGAGGGAGGGAGGGAGGGGAGGAGGGGAGGGAGGGAGGGAGGGGAGGGAGGGAGGGAGGAGGGAGGGAGGGGAGGAGGGAGGGAGGGAGGAGGAGGGGAGGGAGGGGAGGGAGGGGAGGGGGGAGGGGGAGGGAGGGAGGGAGGGAGGGAGGGAGGAGGGAGGGAGGGGAGGGGAGGGAGGGGAGGGAGGGAGGGAGGGGGAGGGGGAGGGAGGGAGGGGGAGGGAGGGGGAGGGGAGGGAGGGGAGGGAGGGAGGGAGGGGGAGAGGGAGGGAGGGGGGAGGGAGGGGAGGGAGGGGAGGGAGGGGAGGGAGGGGAGGGAGGGGAGGGAGGGGAGGGGACGGTCATCGCTGTCGGTGCGACTTCTGCGACCCCGGCCTTCCACCCGAAGAAGGTCAGGCGCAGCTGCAACCCCTCCCCACGTGCGCGCTCGCAAGCGGGGCTTTGTCGCCAAACAAAACAATCACTTTCAATCAAAGAAAGCCTTGTTGTTCAACCCCTGCCCCAAGAAAACAAACAACAACAGAAGAACCTAAGGAGCCCTATGCGCTTGATTCTCACACCCCCTCCCCTACCCGCATTCTGCTCCCCCGTTCGGGGATATCTTTATATCTTTTGGGGCACGCCCTTCCAAAGAAAAGCATGTAGTGAATTGCTCCCAGGCTCATTCTCGGGCCGTACGTGCTCCTGAATCCGCCCCGATATGGCCATTGGACATGCGGCAGCTTCGGCCATCTGCCAAGGGAGCGATCCAATTGTCCATTGTCCATAGCAGAAGTGGGCAAAAGGGTGCTTCCAAGCTTCCTTAGGGGGACGCTTAAAGCAACAATCACTTCAGCAAATGGAAGCAAATAGTGACCGGAAATGGGTGTTTCCTTCTTGGTTTGAAGAGGGCTCCCATTTTTGAACACGAGATACTTAAATCAACCTTTGAGGGTTCACCGGGCAGTCACCAGTAATAATTTGGCAACCTCAGCCCAACACAAATCCTTTCCTGATGGCTTCGAGTTGTGCATGCGTCCTTCCAAAGAAAGCGGGCGTGCGTCGCCCAGCCTCACTTCCTTGGTTGATTGGCCAAACAATCAGTCCAACTAGTCTTCCCAAAGAGAAAGGACAATTCCAGGACCTCACAAAGCGAGAGCCCAGATCAACCCTAAACTTTAGACCACCCCAAAACCAACCTGAAACTTTAAACCAACCCTCAACCAGCCCTAAACCAAACCTAAACCCAACAAAAGTGGCTTCGCATGGAGTGCACCTCCCACCAGGCCCCAACGAAGCACCCTCGTCCCGTCCCTTCCGAGGCCATGGCCCGCGCGGCAAGCAGGTGCCCGCCGTCCTGGCTGGCCGACCCCTGCCTTAAGCTTGGCTGGCGAAAACGGAAGGAAACCCGAAAGGGTTTCAACAGAACTTAGGTTGTTTTTGCCTGGCAATGCGCATTGACCAGGCCAATGCGAACTTGAGAACCTCTGGCCCAAAGCTGCAGGTCTACCAATCCAAGCAACGTGCAACCAACGACCTGGGCTGAGGCATCGATAGAACCTAAGCATCGCGCAGGCATCGCAAGGGCATAGATGTGTTTTACACCTCAGATTTTCGTAAAGCAGTGCGCTTGGAAACAAAATGCAACATGCCGGCCGAGTTCGCTCAGCCGGCCATTGAGCACGCACCTTCACCAGCCGGGTCGAGCCTGACAGTTTTTAAGCATCACATCCTACGACGCAACCTCTGGCACTAAGCCGGTGCAAGTTGCTGTGCAGGGTGATTTCCTGCCAGGGTTGGGTGAAGTTGATACCCAAAGTCAGGTTCTGCAGACTGCTTGGCAGCACAACTCCGTGCAGGCTTTGCCTGAAGCAAAGCTCAAAAGTCAGGCTCTGCAAGGTGCTTGGCCAATTGATTGCTCGAAGACTTTGGTTGAACTGCTCGCCAAAGGTCAAGCTTCGCAAGCTTGGCAGCCTCACTCCCTCCAGGCCTTGGTTGAAGTTCTGGCCGAACGTCAGGCATTCCAAGCTGCTTGGCAAAACGACCTCCTGCAAGGACTGATTGAACTGCCGGCCAAAGGTCAAACTCTGAAGGCCGCTTGGCAGCGTGACTCCGTGCATCCTGATGTTGAAGGAATCCCCAAAAGTGAGGCTCTTCAAATTGTCTGGCAGCGTGACTCCCTGCAAGGGTTGGTTGAACTGGCGCCCGAAAATCAGGCTTTGCAACCCACTGGGAAATCTTACCCCGTGCAGGCCATGGTTGAAGCTCCAATCAAAAGTAAGCGTCTGCAGGCTTTCTGGGAGCGTCAGTCTATGCAAGCTTTGATTGAAACTCCAGCCAAAAGTCAAATGTTGCAAGCTGGCATTCAGAAGCAAATCTCCCTCCAAGCGCTGATTGAAGCTCCTGTCGAAAGCTAGGCTCTGCAAACTCCTTGGAAGCTGCACTCCGTGCATGATGTCTTGGAATGCGCTGCTGAAGGTCAGGCTCGAGAGGCTGCTTGGGAAAGTGACTCCCAGCAAGTGTTGATTGAACTCCTTTCCGAAAGTCAGGCTTTGCAGGCTAGTTGGCAGCATCATTCCCTCCAACGTCTGGTTGAAGTTGTAGCCGAACGTCAGGTTCTGCAGGAAGTCAGGCAGAGTCACACCCTGCAAACTCTGATTGAAATTATAGCCGAAGGTTAGCTCTTGTAAACTGATCGGAAGCCTCACGCCCTGCAATGTCTGGTTAAAGTTGTTGCCGAAAACCAGGCGCTGAAGGCTGTCTGGCAAAGAAACACGCTTCAAGGGTTGGTTGAATTCATACCCAAGAGTCAGTTCTTGCAAGCCACTTGGAAATGCGACATTCTGGAGGAATTGGTTGAATCCTATACCAAAGGTCAAACGCTGCAGGCTGCTTGGCAATGACACTCCCTCCAAGCTTCGGTCAAAGGCCCAGCCGAAAGTCAGACTCACCAAGGTATTCGGCAGCTCAGGCAAAGGCTGATTGAACTCCTGTCCAAAAGTTAGGCTCTGCAGGCTTGGCAGCTGCACTCCATCCAGGCTTTGGTTAAAGCCATCCCCAAGAGTCAGGTCCTGCAGGCTGTCTGGCAACACTCCGAGCAAACTTTGGTTGAAGTCCTTGCCCAAAGTCAGAGATGCTAGGCTGCCCAGTGCGACTCCTTCCAAGCCGCGGTTGAAGCGGCTGCCGAACGTCAAGCTGTGCAGGTCCCTTGGAAAAGCGACTCCTTGCAGTCGCCCATTGAAGTCCTCGCCCAAGACCAGACTCTGCAAGCTGCTTGGCAGAGTCACCCCCTGCAAGATGTGCTCCGAAAACGGGCCCAACGACCTTGCCACAAGTATGGGGATTGCATTGTTGCTGCTAATTCCGAAAGGGGGAATGGCCGGAACCGCCTTCCCCAAATCCAACTAGCTGAACTGAAGATTAGTTCCAAATTTTTGGACCTCTTTGAAACTTGTCGATTCCACTCTCAAAAAGTACAAGCTTTTCATTTGAAGTACACTGCGGGTGGGCATACAATGCCTGTTTGCAGACCAGCACCCCCCCCCTCCCCAACCACTGTTTTTTGGACAGTACTTGGGATCCTGGACATGGGCAAAAGTTGTTGGGGGTGCTGGGGGGAATCTTGAAAACCGGCTTGAATGACGTGGTTTCCTACCATTTCGGCTTCAAACATCACCCTCCAAAGAAAATCACCTTTCGGGCCCAGAAAGCACTTAAACCACCAAGAAGATAATTGTAGGGATTTTTGAACCAGTGCGACAACTCTCGTGCCAAAGCGACTTCGAAGCCAAGCGACAAGTGCGTGACTCCGTACAGGGCCTCCTCAGCATCGACCTCTCCTTCAGGGGGAAAGGCAGGTCCCTTCGAAGCACACACCCGCTCCCTCAAAACAAACACACACACAAAAACACACACACACACACATACACAGACGCGCGCAACTCAATGCAACCTGTCATTTCCAAGACTTGGCCCATGCTCACCCACCCGCAAAACCAAAAATTGCATCCTCCGTATTCGACTCCCCCATAACAAGAAGAGAGGGGTACGCTGTGGGCCCTAGTGTTTTCCATATGAAATGGTTGTTTTTTGCAGACATGCAAATAGGTTGTTTCATGGCAAACCAACTGACTCAACACCAACCTGTGCCTCAACAACTCCAAACATGTTAAAGAGTTTAACCTTGATGTGATCATATCCGTACGGTATAGGAAAAATATAGTTTAGTGATAAAGTTCAGAAATGGGTAACAAAAACATTAAAGCAACGTATAACGCATGGTTATACCATTAATCAAGCAAAAGTTGAAACTGACCCCAATCTTGTGATTGAAGATATATATTAATTAAAGAATACCGCCCAAAAGAAAATTAATCACAACGATATAATATACTAGAATTCATCAAAACATTCTCATATACTTGGTGTTCTTTGCAAAGATATGATGAACAAAGATTTCCAAATACTAATACCTCCAGTGATATTGATATATCTATAGCAAATTTACATTGAGATGTTGAAACACTTAAGTTAAACCTAGTTTATAAGAAAGAAGCAACTATGCTTTTGCTCAAGAAAAAAAACAAGGTGCTTTAGACAGTACATTAAAACTGTTTTTCAAAATGTCTTTGGTCAAGAACTATACCCTAACGTTGAAAAGAGCTTCTCACTCACTCTATTGTATCTTAAAACAACATCATGGTGCCGGTCTTGCTGGGAGATACTATAGCTTTACAAAAAAGAAGCATAGATGGTTAAACAAGTTTTCTCAAATAGAATTACATAAAAAAAATGTTGTCTTCAAAATTTGACCCTTTAGTTATAGCATTGCCAAAATCAGCTACAAAGATTTGGAGAAATGTTTTAAACGAATAAAGATAATGGAACCTCTAGAAGATGTTCTTCAAGATGGGAATTTTATGTCACAGCTTATGCCTGTTTCACTGTATGATTTACTTTCTAGAGACTCGAAAACCCTTGGCAAAAAATATATTCCATACTTTATTAAGGAGAACAGAGTCCTTATTACAGGGGCAGGGGAGTATTGGCACTGAAACTGTTAGGGGATGAATGAAGTATGTAGCTAACCAGATAACTTTACTCGATCATAGTGAATTCAATTTATATAGCATGTCTGAAGAATGTTCTCTTTATAATATAAAAAGTAGTTTATGTTATGATTGTGGTTTAGAATCATTACAACATGTTTTTGTGATTACTTTCCAGATGTAGTGCTTCATGCAGCAGCTTACACACATATGCCTTTACTTGAGGAAAATATATCAAGGAACATTAAACATATTCTGGGAACTAAAATTACTATTGATTTGGCTATTAAAGCGAGTGTTGAATAATTCTATTCTTATTTCTACCGATAAGGCAGTTAGACCAACGCATGTTACTGCTCCACTCTAGGCCTTTTCCAGATCTAATAGTTAACATTACATGTGCATGAGGATTACCCTGATGTGTCTAAAACCGGGAAAAAAGAAAAGAAAAAACACAACAAAAAAAACAACGAGAAATCGGAGAAACCAAAAAACATGCAGAGGGACATTACTGGTATACCCTATCATCTCTCCTATAGTTTTTTCGGTTTCTCGGGTTTTTTCGGTTTGAGGTTTCTACTTGGGGAAAACCAAGCATCTCTCCTAGAACTGCTTTTTCTTTCGATTTCTCGAAGTTTTTTGCGGTTTGAGATTGTGGGTAGAACCAGGTATCTCTCCTAGAGCTTTGTTGATTGTTGTTTCGATTTCTATTGGGTTTTTTTTCCGCTTGGGGTTTCCAAGTAGGCAAATCACATTAATTCATGACAAACAGCTTGGGTGCAAAAACCCAGGGCCCACAGAGTACCCTTCTGAACAAGAAATTATAAGCCCAAAAAAATTGGTCACAACCAAAAGATGTTCGAAATCCAACGGTGTCCAACCAGGGTAGTAGAAACCAGACAATGACCCATCTGCTGCTCCGCTTTGGGAAAAGAGAACATCGTTGCAATGTTGCACCCAGGGGGGGGATGACAAAACCCGCATAATGGAAAAACAACTAGTTTCAGAACATCACAAGTGACCATCCCACCTTGCATGACCATGTTCATGAACATGACCACTTCTTGGTCCGCCCCGCGCCGTACATATGCTACGAATGAACATATGATGTGATATGGTAGTGGTATGGTATATGTTCTGATCTAATCTGATATGACATGATACAAATGCATGTATGTATGTGCGAATGGATGCATATTGTATGTGTGCATACACATACATATGCATGCATGCATGTGTGCATGCGTGCGGGTCCCTTCTCGAGACACGAAAAAGAGATCCCAACCCGACATGTTAGGGGGCTCCTCACCTTGAGACATGCCATAATTGCAGGCATGACAACGTGGTCCACCCCACACTATATTTGAACAGTGTACATATACACATCTACCTACCTCTACAAATATATATGTGCATATGTGTGTACATATGTGTATGCATAGGCCTTTACGGTGCTCATTGACATCTTTGATGCTTTAGTTCTAGTTGAACTCTGTCACGCGATTGGGATCCCACCTTGTAGTCCCTGCAAGGCCTCCTTGACGCTGACGCGGGCGTAGGCGTAGGTGACCAGGGTGTCGCTTCGAAGGTTCTGGGCCCCCAGCGTCTTGTTGGCCAGGACCTAGCGGCTGCCGAAAACCAGTGGGCGTTGGGTGTCTGTTTTGGGGGAACCCCCCCAACAAATGGTGGCGTTCCGGTTTCCGGCTTTCCTGCAAAACCACAAGCAAGAGGTACCGCCCCCGAAAAAAAGACAGACCGCACTCCCAGCATTCAGGGCCATATTTACAGGGTCCCGCCTGTCTTCTGCAGTCTTCACCGGCCGCGTACCAAGCACCCAGTTGGGTGACAAACTGGGTCCAAAGTGACATCCAAATTAGCCTCATAGTGGATGGATCAAAGGGAAACCGCACCATAGTGCAAACTGGCTGTAGAATTGCTAGTAGTCCTCTGCATTTATGTGTGCGTTTGAATTCGCGTGTCTTCTGCGCAAACACCAAGATACTAACCACGCCTGGGCCATCGCGGAACCGTGAAGACTTCCCAATCTTCCTGAAAGCCGTTATGGTCAACAAATGTTGATTTGGCTTACTTCGAGGTTGATTTCATGGCCGGCCTGTAGTGGGGATTGGTCGCTCGAGCTTGGGATTTCTCATGGGTCCCCCCCACCTTTTAAGACCCACCCATTGCGCCTTGGCACCCCCGACGCCCAGCTGGACACAGCAGCCCGGCTTCAGCGGCAGGTGGTCCCTAGGGCTGGACGCCAAGTGTGAGAGGTCGGTCCCAACTGCCTCTGGGAACTTGTTGTTTGCCAATCGAACGCAGGGTGTGAGTTTCCGGGTTGCTTTGAAGAATCTGGCTCATGGGTAGAAGTAAAAGGAGAAAGAAAAGAACCATAACCATTTTGTCTGATGGGGTTCCTCCCTCCCCTTAGTTTCACTATGCTCCAAAGTGTGCTTTTGGAATCATGGATGGTAATTACCGATATTTCACCGGAACGAGATTGAAATCAGCGAGCTCGGCCTATCACCCAAGCCGAAAAGAACACTGCATGGACGCACTGGGATTTCCCTTCCCCTTGTCCTCAGCTTACAGGAAGAACAAGCAACAGGCCTACGAAACATTCGCAAACACAAACCTGTTGACTCAAGGATACCCAAGGGAAGGACACATCAAACATGAAACTGCGCACATCGACCCGGCAAATCCCCGCACAACGAGAAGTTGCCGACTCACTGGTCCACAGTCTCAACCCCCCACCGGCGCCTCACTATGCGAAGCAGCTCCCGGCCCAGCATGTCCTGCGGCCACGTTAACACAGGACACGTGCTTGCCGTTTGTTTTGTTTGCCTCTGCTGTGGCTTTAGATTTAGAGAGACATGTGTGTCTACCTGTACGCCTACATACACAGATGTTCAAAGGACACTCACCAAATACACCATCTTTGGGGTGGCGAGGGTCACTTTTGGTTGCTCCTTGCCCACCACTGAGCTCTTGGATGAGAAAGAATGATTCCAGGCGGTGGTGTCCAAGTCTGCGTAACCCTCGTTCAGCACTTGCGCCGGCTTCTTCGGAGAGTTTCTGAAACAACTGCTTCACCCCTGGAAATCGTGGGCAAGTTTCCATTGGAAACATGTATGTAAGCATGCGTATGGACACACATGCAAATATACATAAATGTATATGTATATAGGTTTGTATACATATATATATATATATACCTGAAGCCCGACAGGCGCTTATTCTCTGGCAGTTGTCTTGTCCTCACTTTTTGGCCGTTGTATACAAATACGGCCGAATGAACAATCAGCACTTTTAGTGGCCGTTTGCCCTTTTTGTTCAATGCCGGAACAATCGCTTCCCCTCATGCTTCACGCATGCCACGCAAGCCTTTAAAAACAGAAACGCAGCGGCGGGGACGGAGAGTCCAAACACCATTGGTCAAGGCCCAAAGGGCTTGCCAGCCGAAACAATGCCTCGGGCACCAAAAACACGCATTTCCTTGTGCAAAACGGATCCTTCGACTGGTTGGTGTCCTTCGAGAATTACGGGCTTTCCACTGAATTTCTACGGGTGTTGTACTTTTCTTTTCCGGGTGTTTTGCCAAACTACTACGGAAGATGGCGCTGGGCGAGTTCTTCGATACGAACCTTGCTGCAAATGGCAAAAATACGTCTGTCCCGCCAAAAGATACTGCCGTTCAATTGAAAAATATGGCTGTTCCCTCGAGAACTACGGCTGTCGCTCGAAAAAGCCTGTCACCCCCCGCAAGCCTGCAGAATCGCAGCCAACACAACTCAAAGTCTCCAACATTGCGGTCAACTGCTGTTTTGGCATTTAAGCACTCAGAACCAGAGTTTTCGCTTCTACACCCGGGCATTGACTCATGCACCAACATGCGCTAACAGACATGCTCATTGTGCTTGTTGGGACATAGTGACCTGAGCGTGTTGTTCGGAGTCTGAAGATCTGCCGCAGAATCGAGCCTTGGAGAATTACGGCCGCGTGAGAAAGTACGGGCGAATTCGGAAAAAAAAAAACACGTTTTTCCGGAACACCACAAACAAAGGCAGGGTTTTGAGGTACCAGGCACACATGCTTGCAAATGTTTGTAATTATACGCATTTCTATACACATATATGTACATTGTATGTATTTATGTATGTCCAGCATATGTTTAGTGCCCTTCGTTGACGTGTTGTTGAATCGACTGCACTTAAGGCCGTGTCGCCCTAAGTGACCCTTTGCTTTGTTTGCTAAGTGCGATTTTTGGCCTGATAGGGGTTGGGATCCTGTTGAAATCGAACAGCTACCCGTGTCAAAGTGTGACAGTTGCCACATTTGACTGGGGCTGGGCCGGAATGGCCCGGACACGGCGTTTTGAGTGTCAAAGCGTGTCATTTGAGGGTCAGTGGGGGGTGCGAATTGAGGTCACTTAGCCCTTGAAAAGGTCACTTACGCTGGTGTCGGTCCCCCTGCGTGAGTGTCATTCGCCTGTCGCTGCGGCTCGATTTGCCCAGCGTCGGTCCCCCTACGTGTGAGTGGCGTTCGCATTCACGTGTTGCTGCGGCTAGGTTTGCCCGGACTGGGAATGTCTAAGTGCCACGACTAAGTGACCTTATTTTCAAAATGGAGCATAGCACCCAAAAAATGAATCGAGGGTACCGAAAAGAAGCTGGATAGGTCTATATGCATGTACATGTAGGTGTGAGAATTCACCTGCAGCGCCCAGCTTGGCTCAAAGTTTCAAAACGCCGCTGTCCTCCCGGCACTCTACGCGGAGCTCGGAGCCATCCAGACCCGTGATGCAGAGCTCGAAGTCCATGAGGTCGACACCCGTGTTCCGGCGGGTTCCGGCCGGAAATCGTTTGCCCAGTTTGGCTTGGATCTGAACCCCAGGTTCTCAGGGCAAATGGGAAGCCAACCCCCCCTTGAGCTTGGATGTTTGCACTTGGATCTGAGCTGCTGGTTCTTAGGGCCAATGGGAAACCACCCGTTTCCCCCAAACCCAACCAAAAGTTGGAGGGAAGCTGAGCCAAAAAAAACACAAAAATAGCCAAACAGCAATAAACACCTTGCCATCCACCGGCAATGCTTGACAGTTCGGAACATTATCTGCATATCCAAATCGCCGGGGAGAATTGGTGTCCTTGACAGCTGCCAGCTTCTGGCAAAAGCCGGGGAGCATATGGCTGCAGGTGGCAATCCATGATGCGGAATACGACCCTCTTGGTACCCAAGTGGATGAGTCCCATCCGGTGCTTCAACTGTAACACTGCAAAGCAAGCGCCAATGACAACGACATTCTCTGAAATGCGAATGTGTTACTTGGATATCTCCTCTGGTCTGCCTGTTGTGGTCTTTCACCAAGCCCAGGGTAGCCGAGCATAGCCAAGACAGCTAACAAACAGATACCCTGCAACTTCGGATGTGCCAAGTCGGAGCGACGCTTGTCCCCGCCTGGGAACCATGGCCTGGCGAAAGTTCCCCAAACCCAAATGTCCAAAAAGCAGTTGTTGAACTGGAAGAAGGCCCAGCCGTTCCCATTACTCCCCCGCAATGAGGGATTTGAGAAAGGTTCCCCTGGCAAAAACAGATTCGGGGCTGGGTGTGTTTGAAGGGATGCTCAGCCACCTCTGACACTGGGCAAATTTTGGGGACCAAAGGAAGGGGCCCTTTTTGAGGTTGACCACTTCCAGTTGGGAGTCCAGGCCAAAGGAGTACCGCTGGAATCCGCGGGTTGGTTCGCTTGTGCCACCTGCCGTTGGCTCCCAGGCCGGCCGACGGCCGGCGCCTAACCGCCGGCCCCGGCGCCACAGCACCTCGGAAGCTGCACGCTGACCAGGGCTTGGATGTTGAAACTCAGCGGAGGTTCTCACTCTAGCTTGCCGTCAACCCTCCCAGTTGCAACCCTGGTTGCGACAGGGTGAACATCCAAGGAGTTGGAAGAACTGCTTTTACCACCCCCGGAACACCTGGAACCATGTGTTCCTGTAGAGCCTCCCAAGGGAGGGCCTCCCCAGATCTGAGGAAATATGCCCGAATCCAAATTCAGCTTTATTAAGCCCGGAACACCTGCAAAGCAACCGAGTCCGAAATGCAGCGCGCGGCCTGCCAGGCGCGCCATGCCACCAACGCCCAGGATGCCATGGACCTGCCAATCCCCCCTGAAAATGCTGCTAGCTTGAGGCAAGATGCGTGGATGCATCTGTGGAAATATGTTTCTATGTATATATATATATACACAATATGTATATATACACATTCATATTCATATGTGATGTATCTATGTGTTCTTCTACATTCGGCAAATATGTACAGAAGTATTTGTATGTTCTATGTGCATAGGCATTCGTTCCAGGAACATGGTCACCCTTGGTCCGTTCATGTACACTTTCGTGCTAACGAGAATTCAACATGGCTTTAATTCAGCAAACGCGTGTATGCACGCACGCGTATGTGCGCGGAGCATGTGCCAAACGGCGTTTGTCGCTTTGACACTGAGGCAGGGCTAGACTAGCTAAACTCGAGGTGAGAAAAAGGGATCCAACAACCCCTGAGAGAACCCAGTCACGGGTGAGCGGGAAGGTCTTCTGACACATGGCCACCATGGATTTGAGTCGAACAAAGCGCGTGGCAAGATGCCAACATATTTTTCAGCTAATCCATGTCCGCCCTGGCCTTTGCCACTGAAGCAACCCCACTTGCGACGATGCTCACAGCTAACTCATCTGAACATCTGTGTGAGAGGGTATCAAGTTTAGGCTGGGTAGCTTTTTCGGGCTTGAGGGAGCCCAAAGGAGCTAGCTCTGTTTTGATCACCGCAGGCATAGAACCTGCAGATGTTGATTTGATTCTAGGACCGGGAGCAAGAATGGAGTTGGACCCGCAGGACAGAGACATTTATCATGGCGAGTTCGTTTGACCTCCAGACTTTCTCACCATAAAAACCAAAAAACCGCAAAACTATAGGTTCAACATCAAAGGGCTGAACCGAATGGACATGGCACGACCTTGTCAATGTCCAGCTTTTGGCAGCATGACGGGGAAGGGGGGCTCAACTCAAGACATTTTGGATGTTGCTCCTTCCCTGGAGTTCCATTTCCGAACCACTTCTCCAAACCTCAAATCGCCCTGAAAAGGGACAAAGTGGATCAGCACAATTAATCATTCGCGCGCACGCGCGCCCACACGCACACTGGAGGCAAGCGGCTGTCGAAGAACTTGCTCCAGCGCAAGCCGCTGGCCTGGCGAGGCCAAGGGAACTGTGTCACTGGAAGCTGCTGTACCGCCAAAATCAGTGGTAAATTGTTTGGGTTGTGCAGGGGCCATCCAGGGTAGACACCCCCAAAAACCATCCTTCTGCATGCCGTATAAGTGGGGTGTGTTTATTTTGTGTAGGTAAGCAGGACTCTAGATTCAATTCGTGCTAACCAACGCTGGGATATGCAAGCATGCCTTTTCAATAGGCCACAACGGCCCCTTCTGAGTCTAATTGCTTTCACAGACCAGGGCTGGAGTCTATGATGGTGTTTGCTCCTCAAACTGGGCAAACTTTGATATCGTGTGATATGTATATGCCTTTTTGTGTATCTGTGCCTCATATGTCAAACCTCCTTGCGTACCCCAACCAAAGGCACATGCCCCCCCCCCCCCCCCGGTTGGGGTGCGGGAGCTGTTGGGACTGGCATGGATCAAAGGCCCGGCTTGGACACAGTTGGACTCCTGGAAACTCAACGGGCGTCCACAGGAGTGAGCCTTGCAGCCTTACCAAGCAAACCCCGGGTTGTCGGGCGTCCCTGAATCAAGGAAACCCAGGATAAATACATTCATATTTGGGTGGTGACTTCTTTTAGTTGCGGATCTTCACCTTCCTTGGAAACACTTTCTCTTGCGGGCCACGTTGATTCATGCCAGGCTTTCACTTGAAGTTTTCCCATCATGTTGCTGGGTCCTGTTTGGTCGGAGGTGAAACCCCGATCATAGCCCCGAACATGCAGCCAGAAAGGGTTGGTATTTGGGTGCTGGTGTGCACGTCCGAAAAGGCAACACGTTCTCGCAACGCACCAACGAGGTATGGAGAGGGTGCGCCTGATGGCGTACCCTTCATGTTGTGTAGCTGTGCCCTTGGAAATCTTAGCCAACCAGGACCGCAAGCTGGGGGGCTCCGTGTGTGACGCTTTGGACACTGGTCCTGGAACAAGTCAGCTTAGCACTGAAAGGGAGCCCGTGCACTTCCATGGGTTTCCCTGTTTGAAATGAGGGGCTTGGGGCTTGACCGCACCTCGGCGGCAACCCAGACGCCAAGCCAGAAGGGCCGCACGCAGCATTTGGCCCCGGCGCCTATGGCCAAATGGTGGCTTTGTGTGGCTTTGCAGTCCGTCACACATCATATCTTGGAGAAGGCGGTTGTCATCTCAGGACCATTTTCCCCAGCTTTCTCGCAAAGAAGAAAGTTGAACGCCGCGGCAAACAATCCAAAACAGCTCTCCAGCCGATTCCTGAGAACAGGTGCATCAAATTCGTGTCTCGGCATTTTCGCAGTTGCAGGGTCATAAAACTGATGATTCTGAGTGTCGTGCCACTGCCTCCTGGAAAAGACCCTGGCTCACAGATTTGACCGAACAAAAACACTTGGGAACCAAGCCAGTGTTCCTTCCAAATGTTGGTTAAACTGACGCAACTCAGAACAAAAATGATTATGAGGCATTCACATATGTGACCCTGGAGTGTTGAACATCCTGCGCCTGCTTGACACTTTTCCACATGTCCACCAGGGTTGGGGTGCAAGGCCTCCTGCCTACCTGCAAAGAAAGAGATGGCCTGCTGCGCATGGGTGTTTTGGCAGTTGGTGCCCTTTTTCAGGTTGGCTTAAACGGAAGCCAAGGCGGAGAATGCGGATTTGTTCTCCACTTACCAGGTTCAATGCCAAGTTCACTGGCGATGGCAGGACCGACTGTCACGGGGCTCCCTTTTTGTCCAATGAGGTCAGTTTTAAACGTCACTTTAGCCAGTTGGAGTGCGGTTCATTCAAGTTGGATTGGGAAATGTGTTTGCACCATTGCACCCCTTTGGTTTCCTCTCGGCTCCGAAGCAATCCCCGTTATTTACAGGGGGTCATTGAACAAGCCTAGGGCCATCACCTCGGGAGTTGACTGGGATTAATTGGGGGTGAAGAGTGGCTTGCTCTCAGCCCACTCCCGCCCTTTCACTTGCGTCGAGCTGCAGCGATGCCAACGCCGCGGATGCGGCGCCGGAGCGCTTGCGCCGAGCCACGGAATGCCAAAGGAACAGCCTCAGCTCTGAGTGGTCCCTTTACCAAAGCCTTTTGGCTCAGCTTAGGACTTGTAGCGGAACCCTGATACCTAAAGTTTTAAAGGAAGACTTAATTTTCAGGAGGCAGCCCCTCTACATTCTTCCATTAAGCTTTTGGTTCAGCGGTATGTGGCAAAAGAGCGACTTGTGTTTGTCTGGTTCCCCTGTAAACCTACCTCAACAAAAAACGTACCTAAATAGAAGCCCGTTTGGTTCCGTGCATTGTTTCCATGATTGTGGGAAAGAACCCTCCGTGAAGCCATTTGGCGGTTAAGCATGACAAGAAGTTGCGGTGAGCGACACTTTGTCTGCCTGGAGTGATTCAAGCGATTTGTCTGCGCCCCGAAACTGGGACTACCCGGGAAAAGGAAGCACGCACATTTGAAGGGGTCTCGCGGCCGGCTCTGATACCATGAGGTCCCAATCAAACATAGGATCTCCTAAGAACCCCACATCCAAGTCCCCCCATACCGAATCAAAGTGATGAGCTTGAAATCAGTGCCGGGGCCCCCCACATGGTGCCCAGAGATCTGCAGAACTCTTTGTCCAACAGTGTCTGCAAGCACGCGGTGCACCTGGCGTTGGGCAACAATACATGGGCAAAATCCTGCAAGTTGGGTGGTTTAGGCTATCATTTATAGGTGCTTATCCATTCCAACTCCAACTTGTGCAGGATTCGTCCATCCCCAAGTAGCAGTCATGTGTACTTGAACATGCTTGCTGGGCTTCATTTGGCGGTCGACACTGTCATGTGCGTTGCCTATCCTCCCTCAAACAGGCCAGCGCTCACGCCAGCTTCCCACTGTTGAATTCCCCCGAGCAACACCCCTCAACCATTTGGGCCAAATGGTGGTGTGTTCAGCACCTGGCAAGGGGAGACTCGGAACGCTCAAGAAGGGATCCCTCGCGCCTTCGTGCTCGCAAAAGATCACGCCAAGCAAGCAGCGTTGATCTCAAGCGTTGCCTCAGTGAACACTCAAAAGCAGTGCAGATTTCGCGTGAAACACTTCAACTCTTGGGGCGAAATGCGCTTTGGCGTTGAATGCCGGGTCTGAACGAAACAAAACACAACTATCCCCTTGTGGCTTCCTTGCCTGAGGGGGATCTAAGAATATGGATTGCATAAAACACAGATGCACACAGTGTACAAAGCAGTTGGACCTAGAGGGTTTCTTTTGTGTTGGTCTCCCCTCGGCGTGAACTAGAAAGATGCACTTCAGACTGTTATGCTCACGTGATAGGAGCCGGACACCTCAGAACGTGCATCTGGAAACCAGCCTTATTTAATCGATAGCCTGAGACAGCGCGCCATGTTGCACACAGGGATGTAAAGAAGTACAGCGTACCCACCTGCCCCCCCAAGCAAGCCACCGAGCAAATCATATCATTAGTGTTTTTGCTCTGGCATATGTTGCGCCAAAAGAGCCAAGGGGCAGCGCAGCGCAGCATTTCACGCAATGTTTCCAACTCACCAGCATGCATCAGTGAGCTCATCTTACTACCCCCAGGTGAGCACATTATGTGACTGGAGCGCCATACGTGCCGGGCAGCAAGGAAGCCAGTGTCAATGAGGTACGCACTCTTCTGGACTGGACGACCGCCAAGCGCCACAAGAAGATCCTGAGGTGTCGACAAAATGATTTCCGGATTGCGAGCCTTGTAGCTCCAAATTCTTAGTTTGGATATGTCTTGTTCGGCTGTGGGTGGATAAAACCCAGCACCAGTGGACTCGGGGGTAAACAACTGGCCAGCTGGTGCAGGATTTTGTATAATTCAAGCGCCTCTTTGCACTCCGCAAGGGCGCATGCACCAAACAGAAAAGGCAGCGGATGGACAAGCGGGGCCGGCGATTGCATGAACCTTGTCTTACGAGTCAAACTGAAGCCAAGAATGGAATTGCCCCCCACCTCCCCACGAAAGCCTTTCAAAAAGCGGGTGCGGGGATTTGAGCGCCGCACGCGGTCCATGCGGATTTGCCGAGCTGTCGGTCCAGGAGTTTCTGCAAGCAGGTTGACCGCCTCCCGGCGTTGAGGAAACAATGCAATGATGGAGCGTACAGCTCCTAACAGAAATCCGGGTACACGAAGGGCTTGACATGCGGCAAAGGGGTGTCCCCATTGGCGGAAACGCACTTTTGGGGTTGAAGGAAGCCAAAAGGAAGCAGACCCTTTGCAACTCTCTTATTTGAGGGATCTCTCTGTAAATCCCTAATGATACACAGCAACGTCAGCAGAATTCTGGCCAGCCCGCTGTTTCAACATGTTTAATCATCCAGTGCGTTGACAGCATCCACTTGATTCATTCCCCTTAAGGGACAGGGCCTGGTTCTGCAAACCAAATTTGGTGAACTCGTGTGAGTGGAGTTCTTTGATCTCAAGGCCAAGAATCGGGCCTCTCGGACACAGAGGGTTCTTTCCCACACTCATGGAAACACTGTACGGAAACAAACAAACTTCTATTTAGGTGCACTTTTGTTGAGGTAGGTTTACAAGGGAACCAAGCAGAAAAAAAACACCATCGAGGGGTCCAAATCGCTCTTTTGCCACATGCCACTGAACCAAAAGCTTCATAAATTGGAAGAATGTAAAGGGGCTGCCTTCTGAAAATTAAGTCTTCCTTTAAAACTTTAGGTATCGGGGTTCCGCTACAAGTCCTAAGCTGGGCCGCATTACCCCCCTTAGGGTAACCACTGAGTTATCCTTTGGCCCGGCAGCTTTCCAACCCCTCTCCCCTTCAAATCCCTTTTTAACTCGTTGACAAGCGTCAGGTTCCGCCCCTCCCGACATTCCTTCCCATGACCCACAAGGGGAAACAGGCAATATGAGGGACCAAGCTTTGGGAGTTCCATGTGTATACAGTTGCTTGAAAGTAGATAACGCATTTCCCCACATCTTGTGGCCATCCCCTCTACTGAGCCGCATTTACCGGAAATTGCACCAACTAGTCACACTTGAATCGAAGTGATCCCCGGCGTAATCATTCAGCTCCTTATGCCAACCCCCAGTTTCCAGGTCGCCTCTGGCAGTGCCTCGCCGAAACCATCCCTGCGCCTTTGTGCCTGCGCCAGGCCCTGCCACGCCAGCAGCGCGCTCCGCAAGGATTGCCTCAACCGCCCAAAGGGGGAAACCAGGGGTCAGGCTTGGGGCGTCCCGCACATTTCCGATGGTCACAAACCATGGGCCAACCTGGCCATACAGCTTAGAAAGATAGGTTCTGGGCTCAAGCTCGAATCTTCGCGAGTCACAGGCACGAGGAATCCTTCAGCGCTCGTTCAGGACCCAGGTGGCAGGCTCAAAGAGAAAGAATCATTGACGTTGATGGCTCATTGGAGTCCACCGTGCCATGGCTCCCTTGTCCACTCTCCAGACTCCCCGCAAAACCAACCAGGGTAATTGACGGAAAACCTGCAACTTCTTGTGCTAGTAAAGTGGGCTTCCCATCCCCACGCCTACTGTATTACTTGCAGGGGTTTCTTGGCCAATCACGCACACGAAGTGACAGCCTAAATACAGCCTAAAACTCCGCTTTCAACAGACAATCGTGTCTTTAAGACATGTCAGCGAGTCACACCTGCCAGTATTCGACAGTCGCTGTTTTTGAGAAGGTTCAGACAACGCTTAAAACCAGATTTCAAACCAAAGTTAGACGTCAAGTAAAGGGAGCCCCCCCCATCTCCCAGGGGGTGTACGTATCCTGGGTGAACATCCCGCTGTTCATGGCCAGTGGCCGGCAAGCGTGCCGCTCCCTGTGTTGCAGCTGCTCTCCTTGGCAGGAGCTGGAAGGTGGCTCTTGCGACCATAGAACCTGCGAATGGGCTGGTCAAAGAGGCCTTCAGGGATGTCTGCTTCCTGTTTGCTTCGCAAACCATGCCACAGGCTCAGGATATGTGGATCTAGAGACTTTGGAACAGATTTCGTGCAGGACTGCTGGCCGTTGAGAGTGCAAAACCACGCAAGACACTTTAACCGAGCTGGACAAACAGATTCTTATAGTGCCCAATGTGGGGCTGCTAGATGATGACCCCTTTCCGCGGGTGACTGTTTTCTCCTTGGTTTGACCAGATTCACGTACACAAATGCATGCTCTGGGGCCAACTTTTACACCAAGGATCTCTACCTGAGGCCTGAGCCTTTGTCAAAAGCTTAAACTGGAGAGAAGCTATTGCTTTTCCCTCAAAAGAGTCACCATGCTGTTTAAGTGGAACAGCTTTCTGCAATAGCGACCCCGGCCGTTGAAATCGGCCCCACGCCAGCCAAACCCCCAGCCACAGTGAAGAACGCACCCAACAGGAACGTCACAAGGAGCCTGGCGTGCAGAAACGCTGGTAGAAACGATTCTCCAGTGCAAGCCACTGATCAAAGGCTGACTCCAGGCGCGTCCTTTTTTCCGAGGGCGCCTGCCTGCGTTTGCTTGTCTTAATAGTGAAGCTAAAAGCAAACCCGCTCGCTTGGGGAACTGTTTGTTCTCTCCATAAAGGGGCGCCCATTGGCTGAAAAGGGCTTGATATGGTTGATTTCTTGGGGCCCGCCCTGAAAACGTGGCATGCCACCCTGCCAAAGGGTGGCTCTTTCAGCCCAGAATTCCCGATGGGATTGACCACCCCGGGGTGGAAGTCTACCATGAGCCTATCCAAAACAAGATCAACCGGCGTCCTTTCACGAGCGGCGAGCTTTGGAATCCCCAAAGCACAGCTGCCCCCGGTTTCGGTGGTTGCCATTTTCCCCGGCAGAACCTTGTTCCAATGGAACCGCCCAGATCACCCGCCATTGGCATGGGGCGGAGGCTGCTGTCCAGCCAAGTGCGGAACTTCACGTGAAGTAGCTCCACAGATTGGAGCCTAAGCGCCCCACTTCCCCTTCCGTGTGGTTCGGGTGATGAACACTTTCATCGGATGCTTTGAGAACCAACCCCGGCAACTAATCCAACTCGCCTTCGGCAATAGGGGTTACTTGTCTATGGTCACTGCGGCCTGCCGAAGTCAAATACCAGACTTCCCTGGTTCCCTTCGTGTTTGTAAGTACAGGGCATGACTGACCCTTCTAAGCTGCTCCCCGGCCACAAATTCCGTGGATGATGAGTCAAGACCCAGCTCAACCTGTCAAGTCTCGCCGGACTTGTTCTTTGCCAAAAGCAGGGCTGTATTTGCCTCAAGGCGATCTGTTTCTTGTCCTGGTTGGCTTTGACCTATGTGACGAACAATGGCTGATGCATGTCGGGCGCCGTTTAATCATCCATGCAGTCATGTGCGCATGCGGCCAGGTTGTTGCGACGTGTGGCGGAGGTACGCAGAAACAAGGCATCACTACACAGCAAGGCAAGTCGTAAAACTATCTTTCTTGCAGTTGTTAAGTGAAACCAGCCAGCCATTTTACAGCGTCCCTGGGCTACACGCAGTGATCGTTTTTCGAAATGCTGCGGTCGTATTCAGCTGAAATAGGTTTCGTTTGGGTTTCGTGCCGTCTTTGTTCCATCAGTTTTGGACATATATAAGGATCGCGGATTTTCATGCATATTGAGTTTACGGCATCAAGAAGTGGCAAGAAGAAGCTCTGGGTGGGCCACATCAAATGCTCACTTGCAAAACCCTGACACGCACACACTCACACACCCACATGGGTATCAGTACACGGGCAGGTCCTGAAGAACTTGCACACAGGTACAATGCGTGAATCGCTCACTAACTTTGCAGCTACCCTAAGTGTTCCCCTCACCACAGTTGTGGACACCATCTTTCCATGTGTATGCAAATAGATATGCGCACATAAACAAATGTGTCTCAAATGTATAGATGAACGATTGGGTGTATTCATTCCGACGTTGGGACGTCCCATGTCCATTTTCATGTTCTATTTTCTGGTTTTGGGGTATCGTTACTTGGGGCGTCCCATATCGTGCTTTGAGGAAACACACAACAACATGTGCACATTACATCACAGTTCTATTGGAGCTACCTCATATGCAAGCATGTACATTTGTAGCTGTTACACACGCACATTATATGCAAACAAATATATAATCGAGTTTCACATCATTTCACATCCCTATGGCTACTTCGTCACTTTCAGCAAGGTGCCCCAAACGTGTCGCACAAAAACAACCTCATACCCAAGGCAAATCGTGCCCGCAATCACGCCCGATTACCTTCCAGCAGTTCATCGCTTTTAGATAGCCCGCCACCTCGGGCGTCTAAATAGGGGGATGTGCAGTTCACAGAGAGCCTTCCAAGGATCCAAAAAATCATGCCTGATATTGACCCGGGCACCCCAAAGACCTTTTCCCCGAGTCTGGTGAGTCGGTTCATAAGCCTTGACAGGGGCAGGGTGTTGTAAAGTTGATCCAGATTCTTGCAACTACACGCACTTCTCAATACTTGGACATCTGAGCTTGGTAATCTGCTCCGGTACAAACCTCAAGCTGACAATCCGGATGGATACAGCTGTCAACGCCCTGGATTCAAGCTATGGCAGGCCCTCCCAAGGTTCAAGGCTCGGAGGTGACTGGCCGTTTGGAAAGCCTGCTGAGTTTCTCTCGGCATCCTCTTTCAGCGACACAAGAGGGGCATCTGCAACCACCTTCTTTAGAGATCCCCTTTTGCAAACAAGTGCGGAGTTTTGCGTGTGGAATTACCCACACCCAAAAACCGCCCCAAAAACAACAACAACAAAATACCAGAAGCAACAAGCCGCGCGTTGTTGGCTCCTGGTCTTCCACCCATAGGGCTCAACCTCCTCGAGCCCCGCGCCTTTCGGCCAGCTCCTCGCTGCGCGCGTCCAGGCCGCTGCGCCGGGCCTCCGCCACGGCGCCGCGCCAGGCGCGGCAGACCGCCGCCAGCGCCGCGAGGCGAACCGCCCTCGCGGCGGGAAGAAGGGAACCCACAGGGAAACCCAAATTTGAGGCTAATGAACTTGAGCCTGAAAAAAAAAAAAAAAACTATCTCTTCAGGGGAATTTATACACAAAATCTTCCATTTGCGCTTTTCGCCCCCTGGGAAGAATGAGGAAAGTATGTCCTGTGATCAATTCCCTGTAAATCCAACAAGGGAAAATAACACATACTCTTAAGCAAATGGTAGACAATTTCGAGATGTGTTGTTGCTTCAGTTTCCCTGGGGGTGCCCTCAAATGCCAATAGAAAAATACACTTTCTTTCACAGCTGACCCAGCATTTACACTATCACCATCAATATCGCCAGCATCGCTCCAACTGCCAGGGTTGCTTAACATGGCTTAAGCTTTGGTTTGGGCAGTGTCCAGCATAATTGGGGTTGACTTAGGATTGGGTTCGGGTTTTGGGACTCCAGGAAGGCGATTCTGGAGGAAGGTCCGGCTGAACGCCTGGGTCTAGTTACGAGTTAAAAGTGACTCGGCAGTGGTGGGTGGGTGGGTGGGCGAGCGGGCGACCGGGCGGGCGGGCGGGCGGGTGGATGGGTGGGTGGAAAGAGATCCACAGGGATGCACGCTGTGGGTTTTACAAGCTGTGGCTGAGTTTATCCCTAATATGGGTTACTTGGATCATTCGTGAGGGTTGGAAACCGGGCCCTCTACAAACTTTCCCTCATGGACGGCAAGTTGTACATCAAATGATTCTGCAACATCAATCCTATTCGATGCTGTTTTGTGCTCGCCTGCCTTGCCCAAACACAGGACAAACACGAATCTTAGACGCAAAGCCACCACTTGTGTAGTGCCCCTGGCTTCCCTTCCCTCAATTTCCTTCACATGTCACAATCTCAAACATATTTGCCAGCCTCTTCTCCTCCAAACCGGAATGAAAAACCCACTTCAGCAAATGGAACTCTCCCAACAAAGATTCCCACCCCGTCCCTGGCCTCAGCCCCGCGCGGCGCGAGATGGCGCCCTTCTGGGTGCAGCGCAGCCAGGCATGCCAGGCCTCGGTGACAGTTCCGCTGCCTCAATTTGGCTATACAGAGGGTGTATTTCCCTCTTAATTATATGGGATTATTAATTTAGTGACCCCTAGCTTATTTACCGTTAGTTAAACTAGGGTAAATAAGTCAGTTGATAGTCTTGTTTGTAGCCAATTGAGGCGAAATGTGATCTTTCTGAAGCGTCGGGGACTGCAAACTTGTTGGGGCCGACCATGATTTAGATGGTGCTAGTAAACAACTGGGTGAATTTCGGGCAAACAAACTGCCTCGAGCATGTCCGAAATACCGATCAGCATTTTGAACTGCCAAACACCGAACTGGATGACCTGACCTTTGCCAAAAAGAAAGAGAGCTCGCTAGCCGCACTGAATGCGGAAATCTTGCAAACTAGACTTGCAACCTAAACCGCAAAGCTTGTGCAATTCGGAAAAAAACTGCTACACTTGTCAAAAAAAAGGTGACAAGAAGACACCTAAGAAGGAACCCAAAGTGAGCTTGCCCCGCCAAACCTGAGCAGAAGGGTCCCTTTGGTTCTCTTCAACCCGACAAAAGTGCTCGCGCCCGTCTTCCAGCGGAATAGAGCACCATGCCACACAAATCTTTTACTCGCCCTGGGCAGAAACAGTGAAACTCCTGATGCGGAGTTCGGCCAAAGTCGTTGGGAAAGGGACGCCTTGCAAGCTTTGCCTGAAGTTTTGGCCAAGCGTCAGGCTTTGCAGGCTGCTTGGCCACCTCACCCCATGCAAGCTTTGGTCAAACACATCGCCGAAGTAAAGACTTCGTAAGCCAGTTGGAAGAGACAACCCCCGCAAGCATTGATTGAACGCCTGGCCGAACGTCAGGGTCTGCAGGCTGTGTGGCAGAGCAACTCCCGCCATGTCTTGGTTAAAGCGCCGTCCAAAAGTCAGGGCTTGCAAGGAGCTCGGCAGAATCACACCCGACATGCTCTTGTTGAACCATTCGCCGAACGTCAGGCTCTGCAAGCTGCTTGGCAGAGTCACGCCCGACAAGGATTGCATGTAGTCTTCACCAAAGGTGAGACTCTCAAGGCTGTCTGGTAAGGCCACCCCTTCAAGGGTCTGATTGAAATGAAATCCGAATGTGATACTTCGCAGAGTGTTGGGAAAGTTCACCTCTTGCAGGCCCTTGCTGAAGCATCGGCCGAAAGTGAGGCTGTGCAGGTTGTTTGGCAACGACACACCCGCCAAGCTTTGGTCGAAGGCATCGCCAAACGTCAGGCATTGCAAGCTGTTCGGCAAGGTCACCCCCTCCAGGGTTTGGTTGAAATTACTGCCGAACGTCAAGCTCTGCAGGTATCCTGGAAGTGTCACTCCTTGCATCCCCTGGAAAAAGATGGAATCAAAAGCTAGGCTTTCCACGCTGCCAGGAGCTGTCACTTCTTGCCAGCCTTCATTCAAATCCACTCCGAAGGTCATGCCCTGAAACCTGGTGGACACCGTAACGCCGTGGCTGGGCTTTCCAAAGCTCAGACTTTGAAGTCTGCTTGGCAGGGACACGCCCTGGAAACTTTGATCAAATTTATGACCCAGAACCAAATGTTGCAAACCCCCGGGCCAAGTCAGGCCCTGCAAACTCTGGTTGAAGCTCCGGCCCAAGAAGAGTGTCTGCAAGGCCTTCGGCAAATTGACTCCTTGCAAACTTTGGTTGAAGGCATGCCCGAAAGTCAAGCTTTGCAGACCACTTGGAAGATTTACCTCCTGCAAACGCTGGTTAAAGTTCTTGCCAAAGGTCAGACTTTGCAGGTCACTTGGAAAAGCCACCCCTTCCAGGCTTTGATTGAACTGCCAGCCGAGAACCAAGCTCTGCAACTCCCTTGGCCAAGCCACTCCAACCAAGCTTTGGTTGAAGGCCTCGCCAAAGCTCAAGCTCTGCAAACTGCTCGGCAGCGGCACGCCCTGCAAGCTTTTGTCGAACCGGTCGCCGAAGCTCAAGCTCCGCAGGCTGCTCGGAAGAGTCACACCCTCAAAACTCTGGTCAAACCTATAGCCGAAAGTCAGGCTCTGCAGGCTGGGGGGCAAGGTCACTCCCAGAAAGCTTTGGTCAAACTCATGGCCCAAAGTCAGGTGCTGCAGATTCTTCGGCAAAGTCACCGTCTGCAAACTGTGATTGAACTTGTCGCCCAAGTTCAAGCCCCGCAGGTCGCTTGGCAGAGTCAGCTCCTGCAATGGTTGGTTGAAATGGTTGCCGAAGGTCAGGCTCTGCAGGCTGGCAGGCAAGGGGATGCCCAGCCATTTGCGATGGAAGTTCTCGTCCAGCGACAAGGACGTGACGCCTGCCATGAAACCAGACACATCGTGCTGGTATATACACTTTTCAAAAGGCAGACCGCTTTACACGTGTGAACTTCCATCCAGGTTCGGGCCGCCCTTGTAAAACAAGTGTGGACGCCTCAAAATCTACGGAGGCCTAAAGGCTCTGAGCTGCTATTTCATTTTCTCTCCTACCCCATTCTGTCCCGAATCTCTCATAGAGCCTGTGTCACGGACGGGATAATGCTTTGGTGCCCAACCCTGGAAGTGAAACCCGCCTCCGAACAACAACAAAGGCAATCGGTTGTAAGTTATTCGGTCCGACTAAAGTGCTCTAAACACTCGAGTCCGCGTCACGGACGCCAGATCGAGGGGGCCACAGCCTATCTGGCCATATCTTTGATTGCACCAGCACCCGCAGCCCATCCTAAAACACAATGGGCACTTTTGAGAACCCTTGTTTGGCTGACCAAAGTGGTAGCCAGGCAGCCAGTCGGTTTAGAGGACGCTTGTCCCAAAAGGAACTCCTCACGAGCCTGTCCAAGCCACAAATCGGGGTCCCAGCCCTGCCTGCTACTGCTTGCTCTGCTGCTTCCGCATCATCTCCTTGAAGGGCATGCCAGGCTTCAAACAGATTTGCCTTCACCTTACTTGCCCAACGGATCCCAAGTAAAACTGTCATCTTTCCCCTTGAGTTGTTTGTGGGGCGGTTTTCAATCGGCACTCACAAAAGACCATTTGGAACCCGCCAGCTACAACTGGGTCGCATAGACAAAAACCAGATTCGCGTCCGCGTGCAAGCGCTGGTCCCGCAAGGCTCTGTCGGGTGCCACCTGCGCTTTGGCAAAGCGGGAATACGTGCAAAAGTGACATTCAACCAGAACACGCCCCATTGGCTTGCTAAACGTATGACCCCTGCTTGCCTCTGTGACACCTGGTGCCTGCATGCATAAATTATGCTTGAATGTTAACTGGTTTGTAAGAAATTACATTGGGGAGAAATTCCGGTGTAGATTCCAATTCAGCATAGAATGATTCTGAATAGAAACTAGGATAGAATGTGTTTCTTATCCAGTTCTGTTTAAACTTTAATTGAGCTGCGAAGATCTATTGGGAAAGGAGTCCTATCTAAATTATGAAAGAACGATATACGCATATATATATATACACACGAGATTGCCAGTAGGATAGGATTGTCAGAATTCTGAATTCATGATATAATTTCCTGTAGGGTCCGGAACAAGGATTTCCTTTCTGAGTTGCATTAAAATTATGTTCGGAGTCGAGATGGACCTTAACGAGCGGCCGTTGGTAGAACTGTGAATTGAGCACGAAAAATCCTGCAACACACTGTTTTTTTACTGACAAAAGCAATTTTGCGACCGACCTCTGGGCTCTTCCCTTAGGAATTGCACACGGTATCTTTATCAATTGTACTCAAGTTTCAGCAGCATCAACCAAACAAAACATCCAATAGCAAAATACACACAGCCCTATATTTCAATAATCTTTACAGTATAACACTTAATCCACACGCCTAACTCCAACATAACAGTAAATACATGTCTCATTTAGTAAGGTATACCCTCTTACTGATATGCTTTTCAACTTTGAAAACAGTTTCTATTGTAGTTTAGACTTTATAAATTCTTGAACTCCTTTCTACTTCAAACTGAAAATACCCAAGGTGTTCTTTTCAGCATAACTTTATCTGCAAATCGAACAGGGTAACATTCAATACTGCCCCGAGACTTGAAATCAACTACAAAAGCGCACTTGGGCACACAAACTCATGCACGCAGGCCTGAAACGGAAATTCCTTGAGAAGGCCCAAACAATCTGAAAGAAAACAACTAGTTCTCCCAAACCCTCGGGTATTTGGTTTTGTTTGAGTTCTCAAGGTGTTCACAGTTTTCCCAACAAAAGCAAACCTCGAGGAGCGTTTCCAGCCAAATAGGCTTTGCCTCCGTATGGGCCAGCTGAATTTTCAGCGGCCACTGCTGGTTTTGATTGAAACGCCACAAGACCTCGAAACACGCCCAATCTTTCTACAGCCACGCACCTGCGCATCGCCGATGCTCAGGAGAAGTTTGCAACCGGGCTTCGTCGGAAGCCGGGACCTGACACAAAGCAACTGACACCCTTCGTATGTGCGTGGTCAAAACTCCTTGTGAGTCGAGTCATCGCCATTCCCTGTCTGACTTTTCTGATCATCTCTCCCCGTTCCCCGAAAAACGGGGAGGGATGTAGGAACATGACCTCAGCAAATGGACATGTTGCCAAAGCAAGGGGGCGACATGTCAAATCACAATCCTCTCATCGCTGCAATGGCAAAAACATAGCCCAACTCCACAAACGAAACCAACAACAACCTGTACACGTACAAACTGCCGAGGCAGCACACCGAACCAACAACCATAAAACCAAACAGATCCGCACATCCCAAAAGCTCGCCACCTAAAAGCGCATCAGCCAAAACCAGCGCTGCTTGTGGCGGCTAAAAAGAGAAACAACAACAACGCTGCTGCTCCAAATCGCCCAACGCGTTTGGGGAGTTCAGGCCCAAAGGAGCTAAGGGAGCAAAAAGCAAGTCGATACGAAAAGCAGACCTGAAAACCAACACGCTACAAACAACAAACCTATCTTTTGTGTTTTGGTCAGGATTAAGGTTTCTTCCAAGCTCAAACGCTGACAATACACATTCCCCCCTTGAAACACCAAACAACCGCAAACTCACACCCCAAATTAATTAGCTTGGGTCCGGGTGGGGAACAAATTCTGCTATGACCCCCCCCTTGAAACGAAACACAATATGTGTTTTTCGCCTCTCCGTTCTGACCTCCAGCCCAGGTCCCCCAAAATAGAAGAAACGGCAATGGCAGCCCTCGCCCCGCCTGCAACACACACGACTACTACATCAACCGCGCGCAACACCGGAACGCGCAACACCTCACTCACGTCTGTGACACCACTGTGACCTGCAGAATTGGGCAACAGTGGTTCGAACAATCAGGCCCTACCTGTTCCGTGGGAAACAGAAAGGGGATTCTGTTAAATCATAGTGTGGGAACATGGATGGACATGCACCAGTTGGTACGTGAATTGCGGCTTCATGGATTCTAGTTGTCGCGATGCTGTCAGGGGCTTCGAACATGTGAAGCAACACTTGGGCTCCTTTTGGTCTCCATTTAAACCAACCTGGAACCCATATGTGCCGTTCTTTTTGTGTCCACAAGGGGGCCATGTCAGTCTCGCGTTTCGCCTCACCAGCCGCAGCAACTCGCAGCCTCGCATCTCCGGTTCGACGTGGACGCGCAGCTCCGAGCCATCGAGGCCCGCGAGGCCCAGCTCCATGGCCAGCGGGGCATGGGGTCCGACAGCCACCCAGAAATCGGAAATTTCCCCGGTTCCGATATTCAATGTTCTCGCAAGAATGCATCATGATTAAACTTAGACCCAGTTATAGAATGTATATTCTATTGTTTGCTTCCCTTTGAGTCAGTGGTAAAATGCAAGTGTATCCTAAGTCTACCCCAGGCAAAACCCGCGCCGGAGACCAGAGATGGGTGAGCCTGACGCCGTAGAAAACGCACCCGTTCGGGTGGCAAAGCTCTTGAGCCTTAAAAGCACGTAGGTTTCTAGTCAGACCCTTCAGGATTCCAAGGCTGAAGCACGCAGGGGTGCGTTTCTTGATCTTGCCATTGCATTGAGGTGTTGGCACCTACATAGAGGGACAACCATCACGTTCCGGGCACAA